TGCTCCTTCAACCCTCTCTTCACAATCTCTACCAGATTTCCTTCATCTGAGGTATTCTCTCCTCTAAAATTAAAACAGTTATAACTGTAAAGTGATTACATTTGCTTATGGCATTTTGTCACTTTTTGGTGTCAAGAATTGTTTTTACGTCTGATTTGGTTAGGCGTTGTCATGAATCCTCAAGGGAGAGTCCTCTATATCACGTGTTGTTTTTCATTGGTTGGGCCTATAACATTGACGCCCATTCTCCTCACAGTAGGAATGGCTTATAATGACTCTGGGTATCACCACTAATGGATTCACTAATGGATTCACTAAACGTATTCACCACAAAACAATCACATACATGTACATATACAATAATTATTTCATTTATTTTATATCTTCGTTAAATTTCTCAGTTTGACAATTTTGACATACATGTACATGTACAAGCAGTACAATACTAATATTTCTTGTGCTGTTAGTGTGAGTGTTGAAATTTCAGATACCCCACTAATGCACCTACTCCAGCCCCTACTGCTCCTCCAATGACTATTCCAATTGGTCCTCCTATTACTCCTATGGCGGCCCCACTGGCTCCTCCAATCATTGCACCTTTTCTGACCTTCTTTCCTTCGTCTGATATCTGTCCACTGTATTGTAGTGTATTGTTAATAGAACCTGGCAAAAGGTCCGCCTTACTTTGTCATTATTGTTATTGTTATCCTTCACTTCTTTTCTTAGTTGGAACCCACGACTTAATTGTTATTGCTCAAGAATTGCCGATACTTGGACTTTCCCCCGGGAAAATCCCTTCTACATGTTATTGACCATAACTTGTGGGAGCGGGGGTACGAGAGCTTACTAATGATGCCATGCACGTGCACTCGTTTGCTCTATTTTGTTTTGACAATGTAAATTCAATGATTAAAGTAAAAAATAATTTCAGTGTATACTTAGAAATGTCATTAAAAGTAGGTAAAAATTACGATAAAAGCAGTAATGTTTGGTTATCCATGAGCGGCATTTTGTAACAATGCCAAATGGCCTTTTTGTATCTTGCTAGACGTCACCCTTGGCCTTGAGATAAAGATAGTATAGACCTACAGTGACAACACAGGCTACTACCTCTCCTGTAGTCAGATCTCTTGGCTCAGAACTATAGATTAACATTGTTACTATAATATGCACTATAATTTTTCTCCCTACCCAGGCATATTTTGTCTCTTCTTTTTAAGTGATTTTCTTCTTCTCTTTAAGTGATGTTCTTCCCCTGAAGCTGTTTAAGGATTTGTTTGTTCGGGCCTAGTCTCGTTTCTTTACCCTCAGCCCGACCCTCCGCTATATAGGGAGGAATTGTGTGGACGTGGTATCAATAGGCCAGTCCCTTGGGAAGCCCCACTACGTCACTCCCATTCCGGCCCACCTGAGACATGTTTGTCTCCTAATGAATGTGAATTGTTTATAAAGCGCTGCATTAGGAGCCCCTCCCTCTTCCACTATATCTTATGGTTTCGTTGATGGAATGAACCAACCAATGAATAATCTACATCTATATGTACATGTACATGTATGTTCCTTTATTGCTTCCTTTATTGCTTTGAAGTTTTCTACATTTTGTATGTACACCATCTATCTGTACTGAGTATTGAAGTGTACTATATGATTGAAAGTAGATACTAATGTACATGTACTATTTTATAGTTTTTAAGATAAAAAAAGAGAAGGAGAGAGAGAGTGGAGAAGGACTTTACTTGCTTATGATAATTATTTTATTGCTGTATAATTTATGAATATTCACCCACCTCATGAATATTCAATGAAGTCATTAGCTAGCGCCTGCCTCTTTTAATGCATTGCGCCAGTTTGATGACATTCACTTGCAATCCTTACAACATTCCAGACCCACAGACTATGTATATACACACATAAAGGCACTCATATACACTCATATATCCATACACCTAACTCCTTATACTTACCATATATTATATACAGGCTCTTAGTATGTACTGTGTATGTCATAAGTCTAGTACTGTGTATTGTGGCTTCTCCATTAGTACATTGTCAGTAGTATATCAGCTGTATATAGTTTAATGTATTATTAGTGTTGTTAGCTTAGCATGTCCATATGTCCTCCCTTGGTTGTGTTAATAGACTGGAGGGTCAATGATCAAAGATATCTCTACATTTCTAGTCTGTATATGTACATGTACAT